TACATGATGTATATCATGTAATTGTGAACTAAAAACCGTTGCATTTTAAATGTACAAGTACATGTGTATGTTCTTTTCATTGATATATTGGGTATGTAGTATATGCATGGATAGTATCCATGGTATATGCATGTACATGTACTTGATCCCATGCAAATTCACAATGTAAAATGTATTTCTCTTCTTCTTTCCTGTAGATTATGATCCCATCATAAAGAAACACAAATGCACCAATCCTTACATCACTTCACTAACATGTACACAATCTCAGCTACTGATTGGTACCTCCACTGGTGTACTTATTACACTATCGCTAGTGGGAGGAGCTAACACTCATCAACTCCACCCACTAATCAGAGGTCATGTTGATAGAGTGAGTACCCTGGTATCAGTTCCGCCCACTCACACTAATAGTAATTATCAAGTGTTTATAAGTGGTGGCCATGGGCTGGAGGATATTAATAAAGCAAGAGCTAGTGATGATGTATCAGAGACTGAGGGCTGTCTTCTCTTTTGGTATTTATCATCTACTAAGAATCAACAGCTGCACTGACTGACTGTCACATGACTAACACATGATTAATAACATTTTATTGTTTGTGTATAATGCGAGTCACACATTATAAATTAAAATTGTGTAAATTTATGTCTTTACTTCAAATATTAAAATGTTTTCAATATCCTCATAATAAGGTAAAGTAAAACAAGTTTTTTCATGATGTTTGTCTAGCCATAGTTCCCTTAGTGTGTTATTGGTCTTGAGTGATTCTATCAGTTTCAATACTCCACTAGTATCAATGTTAGTCTTGTCAAGGTAAAGGTTAATGAGTGTATTGTTATTACGTAAAAGTTCAGCGAGTGACTCTGCACTAACTGAAGTGATGCCAGGATTATCATTAAGATGCAAGCATTCAAGTGTCTTATTGTATTCCAGTGATTTTGCTAGTGCAATGACTCCATCGTCACTGATTGAATTACCTGTTAGGGCTAGAGTTTTTAATGATCCATTGGTTGTTAGTTGAGAAGAAAATGAAAGGATACATTCACGCAAAAAGAACGAGGAGAGTAAATGAAGTTGTTCTATTGCATGTATTCCCAATATAATTGGTATTAGGGACTGTATTCTGTCGGATGATAAGTAGTTGAATGTAATAGTATTATGATTGTTCTCCAGTTTACTGATTACCTCCTTACATTGACCAACTGACGGTCTAGTGAGTGTTACATCATACCAATCCCACTCCACTTCTCCATCCTCTTGTACTACTATATAATAAAATGCATACAACTAGACTAGTCAGTTAATACAAATATTCAAATAGTAAGTATGGCTTGATAATATAATAGTTAATAAATAATTAGCGTTGCATTTTAATTTGCAGTACTAAATTAGAATGGTGGACTTACAAGTTTAAACTACATGACAAATAATTCTAATTACCTTCTATTTCTTTCAGTTTTGTTTCTTTTGAATATTGCTTCAACAATTTTTCTCTCTTTAAAAGTTTTTCTTTTAGTGATGCCCTTTCCTCCTTCAGTTCATTAATCAATTCTTCATTTTGAACTATTATTATAATTATGCTAAAGTCTATAAAACTATAAATTATACCATTAATATATTGACTCTTTTCAAGATCCATTTTTAATGCTTTTATTTCTTTTAATCTATTTTCTGATAGCTCCTTGATTGTTGCTACCTCTGATTCAGTAGCTATGATGTATAGTTAATCAAAGGATCAATACACAGATACATCTCTTACCCATTATTCTTTCATCTCTCTCTCTTAAAGCAGCTTTCAAATCATTAACCTCTGTTAGCAAGTCTGCCCCCTCTGTATTCTTACTCAGTATCTGTATACAATAAGAAAAAAATTAAAATTAATATTAAAACTTCCTGATTATTAATAACCTGAGTAGTATTCCATAGAGTACAGTTGCCGAGTATAAATTCCTTCAATCCTCTCCTTTGCAGTGTATCTATTTTACCAAGGACAGTGATTATCAGTGAGCCAGTGTATTCAGCAGGACAGTAGCAGGTTACCACAACTGATCGATTACGATCAATTTCATCTACCTGTAAAATGTATTTAAATCTGTTAAGTGGCTCCAACTCATCAAATACATCATTGATATCTTGCAATGTGCATTCATCAGGATTCCAGTTGAAGACAAAGACAACGGTTTCACATAAAAGGCGGGATGGAGTAGCAACTGCTTGTAGCTTCTCACCAAGGCAAAGACTCACTGATACTGATTTGCAGAAATCCTTAGCTTCCTCTTTGAATGACTCAATGATTGGTATAGCATCTTCTATGTTGAATTCAAAGGCTAAATTTTCAAGAGGACTAATGTCCATGATATTGCACTTTCTCCTCAGTACATCCAATACTTCACCAATGGTCATCTTATCAGAGAGCTGAGGCTTCAGATCAGGAAACCAGTCACTAATAAGTTGCTTTACTTCATTAATATCCAAGATATTTTTCTTATTATTAAAAATACGTCGAACTCGATAAAAAGTAGTACCTGACTTTAAATTGATTTCTTTAAACTTCTTCTTCACATCACGATCAAGAAGGATTTCGTGATCACCATGCTTATCCATTTCTTTGTGATCAAATGTTAAACCTGTTAATTGTAAAAGTAAATTTAGAATTATTGTGATTATGTACTTTCTGAACTAGTAGACATTGACCTTTGTTGGAAATCTCTGTTTCTTTCTGCCAAAAACTTTTCTTTCTCTGGAACATCATCATCATAATTGAAATGCTTTCCTAAACATTTATACTTTAATTATAAGAGAGAAAAGTATAACTCACTGTATTCTTCAAAGATGGTATCTCCAATATGAGCAGTCTCTGGGAACTTCCTCAATACAGTAACAAACAACTCCAGGTGTTTGTAATTGGAGTGAACAGCATCTCGTACAGCCTTGAGGAGAACTGCTCTACTGTCAGAGACAGAACCTCTGGTAGACATGACACAAGACAGAGCCTCATCGGATATAACCTCTTTATAAAGCAACATTGCCATACGAACTGGTTCAGTAATTGACTGAGAGAGAGCACTGTAATTATTCCTCAATATATCACTAGCACGATCTTCATTACTGATTACTACTCCCACCTGTGGTTGTACTACTGTACTATCATCATCTTGAGGAATTTCCTCTTCTATATAATTACATCATCCATAAAAATGCTACCAATATTCATGACTTACCATATTTGGTCATGATTTCATTGCCTATATCTCTTGTTTCTTCAACATCAGACAGCACTGTAGCAATATCTTTAAGTTTCCTGTAGTCGTGAGACACTGTTTCTTGCATGGCAGTCAATAGAGTGGTCTTCTTGTCATCCAGTGACCTCCTCTGATCTATCCTCTCCATTTCATCCAGAGTATCTTCACTTATACATCTCTTACAGTATAACAGTTGAGACACTTGTACAGGAGAGACAAGAGCTTCATTCAATGATTGAATATTCCTTTGAAGAATAAAAACTGCCTCAGTAGATGGTGGTACATCTATAATAATAAAAATTATTGTTAGCAAACAGCATGATGCTTTAACTTACAAGTTGTTTCATGTAATTCCCTCAGATGCTTTTCATATTCATAAGCAAGTGCATTCTCTTCCACTACACTTTTTCTCAATGCTTCTAGTACTTCTCTCCTACTAGCAGTAGGAGTAGTGGTCAGCCATAGATTGAACATCTCTATCATCTTCTGAGTGCTAGGGATAGCTTTGCCATTAATATCTTGTAATTGTCTCTGATCCAAGTCAAGCATCGTACCAAGTGTGTACCAGTTAGTACTAACATTAACATGCTCCGTTAGCTCCTTTATAGTTGGAGTAGAGGACAAGAAAGCATTGAAAGAGATTTCTTGGTGTTGGGTAGCCATTACTGCATAAATATTAGAGTAAATGATTGGAAACGGAAGCGTGGGAGTAGGCAAACGGGCGGGTACCGGGTCAGGATTTTTTGACAGATTTTGGAGCAAAAATCACAGATTTTATTGCTTTATTTTTTAATAACTCCAATAGCATGCCATTTATACAAACAAAACTCACACACAATACTAACCAGTGTTTATACTTTTTATTAATATTTTTTGTTAAGCAAATCAACTGAGGCATGTGTTGGTAGTTGTGTCACTCTTTAACTAAAAATACTTTCTGAGAGACTCATTTTGTTCTTGAGCAATAAACAAACCTCTTTTTGTAATTAAAAAACAAGGTAAAAAATTATAGCATATTATTATTGTTTTTGTATAATTTATTGAAATAATAGTCACACATCACGAATTAAATTTTGAGTAAAACAATTAAAATAGCGAAAAGTATAATCTATTTTTAATATCCTCACAATAAGGTAAAGTAAGACAAATTTCTTCATGTTCTTTATCGAGCCAGAGTTGCTCTAGTGTATTATTGATCATCAGAGATTCCATAAGTATCAGTACTCCATCAGTATCAATGCTGGTATGATGGAGACGAAGGTACTGTAGTTTCTTGTTAGTGAGTAAAAGTTCAGTAAGTGAATGTGCACTATCCGAAGTGATGCCAGGATTGCCATTAAGATGCAAGTTTTTGAGTTGTTTGTTATGTTGTAGTGATTCTGCTAGTTCAATGACTCCATCATCACTGATTGAACCAGTAGTCAGGACTAGAGTTGTTAGGGATTTGTTGGTTGATAGTTGAGAAGAAAATGAGAAAATATCACCACGTGTTAATAATGAAAAGTAAATACAAAGTTTATTTATTGTTCCTTTCTCCAATATAGTCGGTATTAGGAACTTCATACTGTCAGATGATGAGTGACTGAGTATAACACTCTTATCTGTATCCTTTAGTTTACTGATTACCTTCTCACATTGATCTAATGATGGATTACTGAGACGCATACTATACTGACTCCGCACTGCCTCTATTTTTTCACCCACTTTTACTAATAATAGTAAACAAAATAGTCAAATTTATGCAATGTTTTCATTTCATTAAAAATAATACTTACTGGGTGTGTCACTATCAAGTGAAACATCTGATCTGTCAGTATCAGATGAGTCATCAGTATTGGATGATTCATCTGTAAATATGTCAACTTCATCCTCAATATCTGTAGAAGGTATAATATGATCAACAATATTTATAAGCCTGCATGTCTGTCGAAATTGCGACAAAGCACACATTTTACCTCGAATTATGCTTTCCTTGTCTGTAGTTTTTTCTTCTTCTAGTGATGAGATTTTCTTTTTTAGTTCATCAATCATTTCTTCCTTTTGAACTATTAAATGATCATTAATTGATACTAGTATAATGATAGTACAAATCATACCATTAATGCGTTGACTCTCTTTAAGGTCTTTTTGTAATGTTTCTATTTCTTTTAATCTGTTTTCTGATAGCTCCTTGAATTTTGCTAACTCAGCTTCAGTAGCTATGATGAACATGTATGTACAAGGAATCAATACACAGATAAATCTCTTACCCATTATCCTTTCATCTTTCTCTCCTAAAGAAGCTTTCAAATTATTAATCTGTGCTTGCAAGTCTGTTTCCTCTGTATTCTTACTTACTACCTGTATATACAATAAGAAATAATAAAAGGTTAAAATCATTATAGGCATAACCTGAGTAGTGTGCCATACAGTACAGTTGCCAAGTATAAATTCCTTCAATCCTTTGCTTTGCATTGTATCTACTTTACCAAGGACAGCCATTATCAGTGAGCCAGTATATTCAGCAGGACAATAGCAGGTCACAACAACTGAATTACCCCTACCAATTTTATCAACCTGTAAACTCTGTAAGTGGTAGTCGAATCTATTAAGTGGCTCTAACTCATCCAAAACATCGTTGATATCCTGCAATGTATGTTTCTCTGGATCCCAGTTTAAGACAAAGACAACAGTTTCACATAAAAGGCGAGATGGAGTAGCAACTGCCTGTAGCTCCTCACCAAGGCAAAGACTCACTGATACTGAATTGCTGAAATCCTTAGCTTCCTCTTTGAATGACTTAATGATTGGTATAGCATCTTCTATGTTGAATTCAAAAGCTAAAGCTTCAAGGGGACGCAAGTTAATGATATTGCACTTCCTCTTCAATGCATCCAATACTTTACCAATGGTTGTCTTATCAGAGAGCTGAGGCTTCAGATCAGGAAACCAATCACCAATAAATTTCTTCACTTCATCTATTTCAAAAAAATTTTTCTTGATATCAAACTTACGTTGGACTTGGGAAAATGTAGAAACAAACTTCAGTCTCATTTCTTGAAACTTTTGCCTCATGTCTCGAGGAAAAAGGATTTTATGATCGCCATGATTGTCCATTTCATTGCCATCAAGTGATGAACCTGTTAATAGCAAAATGAGCAGAATTATTATGCTGTATGTACTTTCTGAACTAATAGACATTGACCTTTGTTGGGAATTTCTGTTTCTTTTTGCTAAAAATATTTCATTCTCTGTAACATCATCATCATAGTTGAAATGCTTTCCTAGACCATACATTTATTTTTAGTGAGAAAATTATAACTCACTGCATTCTTCAAAGATAGTATCTCCAATATGAGCAGTCTCTGGGAACTTCCGCAATACAGTAACAAACAACTCCAGGTGTTTGTAATTAGAGTGAACAGCATCTCATACAGCTTTGAGGAGAACTGCTCTACGGTCAGAGACAGAACCTCTGGTAGATATGACACAAGACAGAACCTCATCAGATATAACCTCGTCATGAAGCAACTTTGCCATATGAACTGGTTCAGTAATTGACTGAGAGAGAGCACTGTAATGATTCTTCAATATATCACTAGCACAATCTTCATTGCTGCCTGCTGTCTCCTGTGGTTGTACTAATGCACTATCATCATCTTGAGGAATTTTCTCTTCTATCAGAGTTATGATAAACTGGCAAAATGAAAATCAATATCTTACTATATTTGGTCATCATTTTATTTCCTATATCTTTTGTTTCTTCAACATCAAACAGCACTGTAGCAATATCTTTAAGTTTCCTGTAGTCGCTAGACACTGTTTCTTGCATGGCAGTCAATAGAGTGGTCTTCTTGTCATCCAGTGACCTTCTCTGATCTATCCTCTCCATTTCATCCAGAGTATCTTCACTTATACATCTCTTACAGTATAACAGTTGAGACACTTGTACAGGAGAGACAAGAGCTTCATTCAATGACTGAATATTCCTTCGAAGAATAGAAACTGCCTCAGCAGATAATGGTACATCTATAATAATAAAGATAGATTGATATTAGTTAGAACAGCATGCTTACAAGTTGTTTCATGTAAGTCCCTCAAATGCTTTTCATATTCATCAGCAATTGTGTTCTCTCCTACTACACTCTTTCTCAATGCTTCCAGCACTTTTCTCCTAGATCTACTAGCTTTAGGAGTAGTGTCCAGCCATAGATTAAACATCTCTATCATCTTGTGCGCGACAGTGTGGCCAGTGTGTGCTTCAATGCTTTTCAATCGTCTCTGATCCAAGTCAAGCATTGTACCAACAAGGTACCAGTTAGTACTAACATTAACATGCTCCGTTAGCTCCTTAATAGTTGGAGTAGAGGACAAGAAAGCATTGAAAGAGATTTCCTTGTGTTTAGTAGCCGTTACTTCCGATTTCACAAATGATTATAACAACTTACAAGACACGCCCAAACCAGGCAAACCTCTTGTAATTCTTATAAAAACACGAGTGAATTTTTGCAGCAGCAGTGTAACATCAGCACTGAAATGTAAGTATGGACCAATAGTGCATGTACATGATGTACATCATGTAATTGTGAGCTAAAAACCGTTGCATTTTAAATGTACAAGTACATGTGTATGTTCTTTTCATTGATATATTGGGTATGTAGTATATGCATGGATAGTAACCATGGTATATGCATGTACATGTACTTGATACCATGCAACTTCATAATGTAAAATGTATTTTCTCTTCTTTCCTGTAGATTATGATCCCATCATAAAGAAACACAAATGCACCAATCCTTACATCACTTCATTAACATGCACACAATCTCAGCTACTGATTGGTACCTCCACTGGTGTACTTATTACACTATCGCTAGTGGGAGGAGCTAACACTCATCAACTCCGCCCACTAATCAGAGGTCACGTTGATAGAGTGAGTACCCTGGTATCAGTTCCACCCACACACACTAATAGTAATTACCAAGTGTTTATAAGTGGTGGCCATGGGCTGGAGGACATTAATAAAGCAAGAGCTAGTGATGATGTATCAGAGACTGAGAGCTGTCTTCTCTTTTGGTATTTATCGTCTACTAAGAATCAACAGCTGCACTGACTGACTGTCACATGACTATCACATGATTAATAGCATTTTATTGTTTGTGTATATTGTATTAAGATAATAGTCACACGTATAATAACTTGGTATATATATAATTAATTATTAAAAACTAAAACTTTCTAATTAATTGTTAAAAACTAAAACTTTCTAACTAATTGTTAAAAACTAAAACTTTCTAGCTTTCTGTCTACAAAAAATATAATATGCTTTCAATAGCCTTGTAATGAGGTGAAGCAAAACAAGTTTTTTCATGCTGTTTGTCTAGCCAGAGTTTCACTAGTGTATCATTGGTCACCAGAGATTCCATCAGCATCATTACTCCATCAGTATCAATGCTGGTATGATGGAGACGAAGGTATTGGAGTTTCTTGTTAATGAGTAAAAGTTCAGCCAGTGAACGAGCACTATCTGAAGTGATGCCAGGATTGTCATTAAGATGCAAGTTTTCAAGTGCTTCATTATGCAGCAGTGATTGTGCTAGTGCAATGATTCCATCATCACTCATTGAACCAGTAGTTAGGACTAGAGTTGTTAATGATTTGTTGGTTGATAGCTGAGAAGAAAATGAGAGAATATCATCACGTGTTAATAATGAAGAGTAAATATTAAGTTGACTTATTGTTCCTCTCTCCAATATAATTGGTACTAGGAACTGTGTACTGTCAGATGATGAATGAATAAGTATAACACTCTTATTTGTATCCTTTAGTTTACTGATTAACTTCTCACATTGATCTAATGATGGATTACTGAGACGCATACTATACTGACTCCGCTTCACCTGCACCTCTGCATCTGCTTTTACTAATAATATTAAACAAAAATAGTCAGTTAATTGAAGTATTCAAACTTATGTAGTGTTTTTATTTCATTAAATAATAATACTTACTGGGTATGGGTGCATCACTATCAATTTCTGATGGTGTGTCAGTATCAGATGAGTCATCATTATTGGGTAATTCATCTGTGAATATGTCACTATCATTTGGTATCTCTTTAACTAGTGAATCTGTTAATGACTAGAAATGGCAAAATGTTGTATTTAATTAACATACTGCTATTGTTTTCAAGTTTTTGTTTTGTTTTTTGTCTATTTTCTGACAGCTCCTTAAATGATTCTAACTCTTTCTCAGTATCTGTAGAAGATATAATATGATCAACAATATTTATAAGTTGGCATGTCTGTCAAAATTGCGACAAAGCACACAGTTTACCTTTAATTATGCTTTCCTTGTTTACAGTTTTTTCTTCTTTTAGTGATGAGATTTTCTCCTTTAGTTCATCAATCACTTCTTCCTTTTGAACTATTAAATGATAATTGATACTAGTATAATGACAGTACGAATCGTACCATTAATGCATTGACTCTCTTTAAGGTCTTTTTGTAATACAGTAACAAACAACTCCAGGTGTTTGTAATTGGAGTGAACAGCATCTCGTACAGCTTTGAGGAGAACTGCTCTACTGTCAGAGACAGAACCTCTGGTAGACATGACACAAGACAGAGCCTCATCAGATATAACCACCTCTTCATGAAGCCACTTTGCCATACGAACTGGTTCAGTAATTGACTGAGAGAGAGCACTGTAACTATTCCTCAATATATCACTAGCACGATCTTCATTACTGACTACTCCCACCTGTGGTTGTACTACTGTACTATCATCATCTTGAGGAATTTTCTCTTCTATCAGAAAAATAATATTCATAAATTGGTAATAACTTGACAATAATCAATATTTTACCATATTCGGTCATGATTTTATTGGCTATATCTCTTGTTTCTTCAACATCAGACAGCACTGTAGCAATATCTTTAAGTTTTCTGTAGTCACTAGACACTATTTCTTGCATGACAGTCAATAGAGTGGTCTTCTTGTCATCCAGTGACCTCCTCTGATCTATCCTCTCCATTTCATCCAGAGTAGCTTCACTTATACATCTCTTACAGTATAACAGTTGAGACACTTGTACAGGAGAGACAAGAGCTTCATTCAATGATTGAATATTCTTTTGAAGAATAAAAACTGCTTTAGTAGATGGTGGTGCATCTAAAAAAGATAAATAGTATCAGGCACACTCATAACATGCCGCATGCATAAATCATAGTATATACAGCTTACAAGTTTCTTGGTGCAATTCTCTCAAGTGCTTTTCATATTTTTGAGCAAGTGTGTTCTCTCCCACCGCATCTGCTCTCATTGCTTCCAGTACTTGTCTCCTACTAGCAGTAGGAGTAGTTTCTAGCCATATATTGAACATCTCTACCGTCTTGTGAGCGTCATTGTGGCCAGTTTGTGCTTCAATGCTTTTCAATCGTTTCTGATCCAAGTCAAGCATTGTACCAACAAGGTACCACTTAGTGCTAACATTAACATGCTCCGTCAGCTCCTTTATAGTTGGAGTAGAGGACAAGAAAGCAGCGAAAGAGACTTCCATCTTTTGAGAAAATGAGCCTCGCCCTTGAGTGGGCGTTCATCTGATTTTACAAATACCCCGTAATAATTAATAATGATGATAAAAATTATAAAAAATAGAAGAATTTTTAAAATATGTTTGATCCAAACAGCAATTTAAAAATAATCTCGACAGATGACTGTGACATGTTCTCCTGATAGCAAATGTACAGCTCTCTCTCCTCAAACAATCTCCTAAAAAGCAAAACAAAAATAAATAAATAAATAAACAAACAAACAAACAAATAAATAAATAGATAAAGAAACGAGTTTTCAAAGGATAGCAAAAATATTAAAAATACAAAATTGAAGGGTTAATGCTCCTCACCCTATTATCCAGTAGTTCAGTATAGGAGGATTAGCTAATGACCCATGAATATTCTTAGCTCCTCCCCCTACTCCTCCCCCTCTTGTTGATAGCATGGTACATGATACTAATACTCCATGCTCTATCACTGAACTCCCTCTTAAACTAAACACACCATCATTACCATCTTTCATTGAGGAAACTGATGATACCTATACATGAACAAATGATATGAAGTAACAATAATAATGGTGATAGAGACATTGATAATATTATACTGTTTTGATGGTTTTGATGTCCTTATGCTAGGTAGTAAGTTTAAGCTAATTCTGAGCACAAACTTTGGAATTGTGAGTACCTTTTAAAATGGGCCATTTTTGAGAAGCTCTCTGTACTGTAGCCCATGGTTTTCTCAAAAAATGGCTCTGAAATCACCCTCAATTTTTATTACATTTTCTGATACATATTGATGTACTTATGCTATGTAGAAAGTTTGAGCCGATTCAAAGCTCAAATCTGACCTAACCCTCCCTAATATCCTTGACCACACCTACCTCCTCCTCCTCCTCTTCCTCCCATACATTGTCCTCCTGTTCCTCTCTCCTCTTCTGGTTTCAATATCTTACCATATTCGGTCATGATTTCATTGGCTATATCTCTTGTTTCTTCAACATCAGACAGCACTGTAGCAATATCTTTAAGTTTCCTGTAGTCGCTAAACACTGTTTCTTGCATGGCAGTCAATAGAGTGTTCTTCTTTTCATCCAGTGACTTCCTCTGATCTATCCTCTCCATTTCATCCAGAGTAGCTTCACTTATACATCTCTTACAGTATAACAGTTGAGACACTTGTACAGGAGAGACAAGAGCTTCACTCAATGATTGAATATTACTTTGAAGAATGGAAACTGCCTCAGCAGATATAGATAATGGTACATCTATAATAATAAATAGATCGATGTTAGTTAGAGCAGCTTGCTTTATCTACAAACTACAGCTTACAAGTTGTTTCATGTATTTCCCTCAAATGCTTTTCATATTTATAAGCAAGTGTGTTCTCTTCCACTGCATCTGCTCTCAATGCTTTCAGTACTTCTCTCCTACTAGCAGTAGGCTTAGTTTCCAGCCATAAATTAAACATTTCTACCATCTTGTGGGCGTCAGAGTGGCCAGTGTGAGCTTCAATGCTTTTCAATCTTCTCTGATCCAAGTCAAGCATTGTGCCAACTCTAAGATACCAGTTAGTGCTAACATTAACATGCTCCGTTAGCTCCTTTATAGTTGGAGTAGACGACAAGAAAGCATCGAAAGAGATTTCTTTGTGTTGAGTGGCCATTACTTGAATTTACTTCCGAATTGCTGTCGTAGATCTTTGTAAACACTTTCATCAGCCAAGCCCTGCCCGAACCTAATAACTTATTAACTACTTTTTGTAAGTAAAATTATATTATAGAGATAATGATAATAAAAAATTAAAAAATAGAAGAATTTTTAAAATATGTTTGATCCAAACAGCAATTTAAAAATAATCTCAACAGATGACTGTGACATGTTCTCCTGATAGCAAATGTACAACTCTCTCTCCTCAAATAACCTCCTATAAAACAAAACAAATAAACAAACAAATAAATAAATAAAGAAATGAGTTTTCAAAAGATAGCGAAAATATTAAAAATACACAATATACATGGGTTAGTGTCCCTACCCTATTATCCAGTAGTTGAGTATAGGAGGATTAGCTAATGACCCGTGAATATTCTTAGCTCCTCCTCCTACTCCTCCCCCTCTTGTTGATAGTGTGGTACATGATACTAATACTCCATGTTCTATCACTGAACTCCCTCTTAAACTAAACACACCATCACTGTCTTTCATTGAGGAAACTGATGATACCTATACATGAACAATAACAAACAATGATGATAGGGAGATTGATAATATTATACTGTTTTAATGTTCTTATACTATGTAGTAGTAAGTTTGAGCTAATTCTGAGTAGAAACTTTGGAGTTGTGAGCACCTTTTAAAATGGGCCATTTTTGAACAGTTCCCTGTACTATAGCCCATGGTTTTTTTTAAATGGCTTCAAAATGACCCCCAATTTTTATTACATTTTCTGATACATATTGATGTACTTATGCTGTGTAGAAAGTTTGAGCTGATTCCAAGCTCAAATCCTGACCTACCCCTCCCTAATATCCTTGACCACACCTACCTCCTCCTCCTCCTCTTCCTCCCATACATTCTCCTCTTGTTCCTCTCTCCTCTTCTGGTGTAAGATGGTGTGAATGGCTGACGCAGTCTCACGGAAAGTGATCAGTAGCTGACTGTGAACTGGTTGACTGCTGACCTGCTCGTTGCTAGGGGATACGAGGAGACCACGCCCACTTTCAAGAGATACGTAATAAAGCAAGTGATTCTCCATTCCAGCAGTTAACCTGAAACAAAAATAAATAAATTATACCACAAAAAATAAATATAATAATTGTACATGTACTTACAAATTTATACGACAATATT